AATGGCCTCTTTCATGCTGTCGCAGTGTTTGGGCAGGTCCTGAGACTGTAATTCTCTGCAGAGTCCTATCTTCTGACCTTGACACCGGTCCTGGCACAGAGGCAGATGATACAAGGAGCGTGCGTGAAAGAATTTTGTTCTTGGGAACTTGTGATGTCGAGGGGTTAAACCCCAAAACCTTGCACCAGGAAGAGCCTAGGAGAAGGCTGAAATGAGTCTTCACTCAGGGAAGGTGACTGTTGTACAGCCTCAGCTGCCTTTTTGTGGGGATGGTGTGTGTGCCTCCCCAGAGCTCACAGGAGTGTGTTTTCAGCCTAATTTTAGCTTTATCTTTACAAAAGCCTGTCTCTCTAGTGAGTCACCCTGCTCCAGGGCTCCACCTCTCTGTGAAACTGCTTCCCGCAAAGTTGGGGAAAGATGGCTTTGCTTTCTGGGGCGATGTGGGAAAATCCTCAGACCCACTGTCCTGGAGAAAGCAGCAGTTTTTATAGGCAGATTGTGGGTATTTTCAGTGTGAAATACCTGAATAAGCAGCTGTCCAGCCCTGGTGTGCTGGGAAGTTGTGTTTTATCCTGTGGGGTCCAGCCTGCTGTGTTTCTGGATTACAAGTTTGGTTGCCAGGATGGGCCCAGTGGGGCTGTTTTGGCATTGCCAGTGCTGTGTAACCAGTCAGCTTGCACAAGCCCAGGCCAGCTGCCTGTTGTGGTGGCCAGCAGGAGCTCCCAGAGCTTGTTATTACAAGATGAATCCAGAAAATTGCTGTGTAGAGGTGTCTGGTAAGGGAGTAGGTCAGTGCACGCTGGTTGTGGTGCCTTTGCCAGCACAAGTTAGGCAAGGGGAATGGGCTGGGCCCAGAGGGAGGACAGGGAACCTAAGAGGGGCATTGGGAGGAATAGCCCAGAGCAGAGGCAAAACCTGGCAGTTATAAACACTCAAGGCGATTTTAGTGTCTCTGGGAAGATGGAGCAGGCTGAGGACCTCTTGGGAGATAATGAAGGAACAGCGCAGAGTCTGGGCAGTAATATGAGCTCTGTGATACCTTTGTCCTTTCCTGAATTACTCTGACAGTGGTCCAGGGGACAGCCCAAGTGTTTAACATGCAGCAGAGCTTAGGTGAGACCCTCTAGGCTGCGTGCTGCAGCAGCAGCTCTTCTGGAGACACGCAAACCCTCAGAGCATTGTCGTGAGGGCAGATGTGCTGCCTCTCTCACCCTGGATAGTGCAAGGGCTGGAGGGCAGCGTGGGCGTGGGCTTTGCTGCTGCCCTTCAGCACTGGCTGGTCTGTGGCTGG